TGTGTTTAAGGGTCGTTTGGATGTGGTGTTGGTGGATATGGCTTAGGGGAGAACTTTGTAGAGTAGGGATGATGGTTGGACTTGGTCATCCCAAGGGTCCTTTCCAACCTGAATAGTTCTATGATTCTATTATTCTATACCTGCTAATGCTGCATTTTCTTTGCATACAGCATGAGGAAAGACTGGAGGGACAGAACAGCAGTTTTTACCTTGTTCACATATTCAAAGATGCTTTCATTAGATGTTTCTCTCCTTCTGTAAATATACCAGGCAGTGAACCACACAGCAATGACATAATTAACTGCTTATAATATTGGGGGATGTTACCATGGGAATGAATGATGGTTCTGAAATATTAAAACCTAGCACTATGTGTAGAAATTAGAAATAGGGTTTTGATTATGAAGAAGGAGGAAAGACATTCTGTGATCTTTGTCTCCTTCTTAGGGCTGTGCATTAGAAAGAGCTTTATTTTTCTTCTCCCTTAACCACTGAAGAACTGCTAAGGTGGAATGCTTTTTAATGCCTCCCAGGACAAATGTTCACATTTTTATAGATAAATTGGCCAGACAGGAAAGTAGATTTTACTTATGTTCCCACTCTTTTTCACAAGCTTGTCATAGCTTTTTTAAAAAAAATAATAGTAATCCTGTGTTCAATTTTTCCATTAATGAAATGAAGATACATCCAATTTTGCAAGCCTGTCCTGTGGCTTTTTTCACAATATAAATGCAGAACATTGTTCAGCTGATGGTGAAAAAGTATATTTGCCATAGATGTTACTGCTCCAGCATCATCACAGATCCATTTTCTTGATGTTACTTTTTCATATACACTGGCCTTTTTCAGGAAATAGTATTGTCCCTGATGCACTCAGTAATATGGTAATAGTCTTCAGCATTTTTCTTTCTATGGGTTACTTTTCTCTTAGTGAACATAAGTACCTCAAAGCTCAATGATTCAGAAAGCCTTAATATACCAGTTAAAGTATTACAGTATTATCACACATCATAATGTCATTTACTTTCTCACTATGTGGACAGAAAAGCATCAAGCTAGCAAAGACACTCAGAAGTTATTTTCCTGGTAAATATGATGTCTTCAAGCAGATAATGAATAATTTGTCTTAAGAGACGTGCCCAAACATCACTCAAAAGGCCCTCCGGTATCTCCAGAAAGGCGTCACATTTGTCCT